CTTTTGCAGCATATACTATGTGAACAATTTTGATTCATTGACTTTAAGTAATACTTTAATATAATTAGATCCAGTAGTAGACACAGAGATTAATGAAATTCAGATTCTTCTTTTCCTCTTAGTAGCTAACAAACGAGCTTAAAATCAAGTGCATGTGTGGAGGGTTATAGATGCAAAACAAGATAAAGCAACAAAAAAATTCAACAAGTATAACAAGTGTTAATAATATCCAAAAACAATTACTATTTGTTGCATACCAGATGTGAAGCAAATTTAGGAGAAGGAAACAGCTACAGATGAAAACAACCTTCAGCACACAGGGGAAGATACACAGAGGGTCTCAAAATCAATACTCCAAGGAAAAGACGCTAGAACAAAAGAGTATGCGCTGTGTGTTCCATTATTATTACATCCCAGCAAAGTCAAATGAAATGTAGACCGACACAATGAAGTTTACAAGTTATTTGAAAGTAAAGGTGGCTGTGGAGAGTTGAATATGCTATAAAAAGTCACAAGAATGACAGAGGTAAAAAGGTGAAGTAACTTAGCTGTAGTTGGAGCTACTTGAATAGATACTTTTACCAAAACTCTCTGAGTTGTACACTTGGTACAATTAAGACTTATTGTACATATATTACCCCTCAATAAAATTAATTTAAAAAGGGAGAGAATCAGCACAACACAGTCTAGCTAAGTGAAAGTATTATATATAATAATATGGAATAGTATTATATATAATAATATGGAGTAGTATTATATATAATAATATGGAGTGTGTATTTTTAAGTGTTTAGAAAATTTAGAAGAAACAAATTCACCCCAAAATTATACTGTCCAAATTCCATTTTTATTGGAGATCCTTAAAATTTTAAAAGTTTTCATATTTTCGACATCAACAGCAGACACAGTGTTGAACAACAGAATGGTCACTGTCTGCGTGAGTATTTTGAAGGCCGGATGTGCACAGACCCTTCAGCAAGAATCATCCTCTTCGTCTATGCACACGGAGGGCTCTTACCTTAGAATGTCTGACTTCAGTCACAAAGAGCACAGGAGAGTTTACCTTGTGGTTTGTAAATAAACAACTTTTTTGCTCCACAACTCAAACATATCTTCTTATACACCTGTTCATCCATTTTATTTTCCCAGGGGAAGGAGACTTCTGCTTACTTTCACAGAGCTAAATCTCACTTCCCAGAATACAGATGAGAAACAAGAAAGTGGTATAAAGGTTGTGGTGGTGATATTTTTTCAACACCCATGTCTTGCAACTTTGGAAGAGGCACTGAAGGTCCAAGATATGCATCTTTATTAATTCAATTACATGAATCTGCTTTTATATATTTATAAACTAACATATTTTAAATAAATCACATAAGTATTGCCATTCTAATAAAGATGAGATACATGTAATTTTAAAATGTGTTTCACACTGTAGTATTTTTCTACCATAAACTACTATTTTAAAGTATAATGCATATTTAGGGTGAAGATAATAACTAACAGTAGTAATAATGAAACCACATGTAGGTAATCTTCGTAATTTTATATTTGGTCATTTTTCTATTAGTTCAACTTATAGAACAATAATATATCTAATGCCAAGTTTATAATGAAAGTAGGGCTGCTGGTATTAGCTTTATTTTTATTTATTTGAATTATCTTTGTCTAGATTGTTTTTATTTTAAAAAGATCTTTTAAAACCATATGTGTATTTTATGAGGACTTGGATAGTCAAACTATACATCATTTTACAGCATTCTTTATTGCAATATGTTATGATTTTACAGCATTCTATATTGCAATGAACTATGATGAGATAAATGATTGTACCATTCAGACCAATAGAATTCTCACTATGTTTTAAGATTCCTTGAGTATAATGTAGGAGAGAAAAAAATAATAACTTTTCTTCATCTCTCTTTGGAGTCATGATGATACTCCTATAGCTAAGACAGATAAACAAAAGGAAAGCAAAACAGTTTTATTTAACCAAAGTTTCATATGACAAGGAAACATTTGAAACAAAACACTTAAAAACTGGGCAAAGAAAAATTTTGTGGTAAATACAAAGAGAACAATTGAACACTGAAGCAAAACAACATTGGCATGATCTAATGGTAGAAAGAAGTGTGATGCAATGGTGTCATAAACGCGGGAACACGGAAGGGTGCACAGCAAAGTGTTTGTCCAGATTTTCTCTGGTAACTCTGAAAGCTATTTCTCCTCTGAATATGGGGCAGGACGCCTGCTACATAAGAACTTTATGACTTGAGACAGACAGGTCGGAGAATTCCTTTATGGCCTGTTATCACACAGAAAGAAAAAAAAAATCAGTGACTTTAATCACACCGTATCTTGAAGAAACGTGTTCTGAGTCCTGACAACTGAATGTGGCATTTAGCTAATTAAGAGTAACAAGTTAGTCCCTATGCTAAATGTTGTCAAAGCTTGTTTTCATAGTTTTAACATAAATATATAAATAAAAATGAAAGTGTTAATATATTCCTTCTATGTCCAATGGATTATTTTTACTGTGCAATGCCCAATCTTAAATTCCTTAAAGAAACTTGATAAACAGATATTCTTATATATTTTGAAAGAATAAAGAAATACTGTCTGATTCAAATATTCACTCTTTGTGTCTATGTTAGTCTCCCTAACCAAATTATGAACCACTGGAGGTCGAGATGCAGTGCATGACTAGGCTGTAGTGAGACATTAAGGCAAAACCATCCAATGATGTGCACATTCTATACATTTTATGTGATTCCCAAAGTTCTTTATCATTTAGCCCAAAGAGCAAGGCTTGTTTTGCATTTATTACAGTTCTTTTAAAATTATTTGTATAAACTATTGATAATCAACCATCACATATTTTTTGCTTGCTATCTCAACACCTCCTGAAAACGTGCTGACAAACTACACTGCAATTATTTCCTTGTGTGTATTACACAGTAAGCTTCAATTCATGAGGATGGGAACACTGCTTGTCTTTTGAATATTGTCATATTACAGTAATAGTGGGCATAGTAGTATATTATAGTAATATTGTGTATAGCAGGTATTTGATACACTTTTGAATTAATGGATGATGAATGAATTAAATAGTCAGAAAAATTGCTTACCATGAGGTGGATCACTAAGCAAACATTTGCAGAAGAGACTAGTAACGTATCTGTTTTTTCATGCAGAGGAACTAACATGGGAACTTTTAATTAGAGTGATGTAATTATCTCAAGTCACTATGTTTGTTTACACATAAAGTCTAAATATAATATTATAGCACCTACTATCTCAATTATATTATAATGCCTGTATGTCACTCCATATCAGATAAAGTTATGTAATTTAAATCAATAAGTGAAGTTTACTAAACAGAAGAATTTTGTATTTTTTCATAAAAATGATCACAAATATAGTCATCTTAAAATTTGTATAGCAAATCCTATGAATCAGGAGTATGGGTATGAGTTTACTAAGTCTTGCACTTAGCTTCTCACCATACTACAAAGTGTTGGCCAAAACTGAAATTTCTCTTGAGGCCAAGGCTCATTTTGCTGTTGGCTAATTGTTGATGAAATGTGCTTCCTTGAGTTACAGTACTGAAGCCCTCTGTGCTTGGGCTGCTCCTTACTATCTGGGAAGAAAAACTTTCCTCTTCCATCTTGAGTTCATTGATTGAGGGCCAGCAAATTAATGAACAACAGCCATATTAACAAAGGAAAAACAAGATTTATTTATGCATTCATGTCAGAATTTGAAGTGTCTGGCCTTTCTAATGTTTGAAGGATCCAGAATATATTCAGTAAATTTGAGCAATGCACAAAGTTATGCTTGAGAATTAAAATGGAGATTTGAAAAGCAAAACTCAAACTTGGAATAATTTTTCTTTATTGAGTTGCAATTATATTTTAAGTGAAACACTGCACTGATAAATAAATCATGCAAAGGTTCAATGTAACATTTATGGAGTGTTGAATACTTACAACTGCCAAAAATAAATAAATAGTCCTTGTTCTTCTGAATAAGAAACTCTAAATTCAGAAGACATATCCAAGGAGAACTTCTGCTATTGAAAGCAGTATCTGTGAATAAAGGAGTTATCAGTTTAATTATCAAATGCTCTCAGTTATGTTAAATTGCAAGAAAAATGTATTGTTTGTTCAATATGTAAAAAATGCTTGATGTCTTGTTCACAATTGTTCATGCATAATGTCTAGAATAAAGTTAAATACATCATCGTTGTGATCTGCTCTTGTTTTATATCTCCTTTCCAAAGTTTATGAGGCACATTTTTTGAAAAAAAAAAAAACAACAAGTTATAATTGTATCACATATTATAGTTAGAGAGAAATAAAACTGCAAAGAGTATAGGAAACCAAGTCCCAGTATTATTTCTAGAAATTGTGCTTCTCATTGTGCATTTCTTTTATACTGTACTTTTATAATGGGCATTGTTAACTTTTAAGTCAGAAAAAATAAAGATATGTATCTTTATTTTAAAAAAAAAAACTATAGGAAGTAGCAATTTATATAGATTGCCTGCCTGAATTTAAATTATCCTTTAAGGTAATTCATAGAGTACCAAAATCAACTAATAATGAATGGGAAAGTTGAGAATATAGACAAAGTAACTGAGAACTAATGAGTCCCTATAGATATTTCTTTATGAATGATCACTTTTGCCACCTGTATAAAATCCAAACCTAGAAAGTGCATTGAATTCTTGGTTCACCTGAAGAGATGATTATTTGAATTTTAAAACATTGATCTAAAGACAATGTTGTTATTTTACAAACTGATTGATTGAAGTACTCTCTGTCCTATATTGAGTTGGGTTACAAAAAGGATCCATGAAGATAGCAGAATTAACTAAATATTATCCAGTATTTCATTTATCTCATTTAAGGGAAAACTATGGGCATGGTAAGAGGGAAAGAAGTTGCACAGGATGAACCACTGGGCGGTAACCACCTTATGCTTTGTTATTCTTGTAGGATCCCATGATTCCTTCAGCTTCTACATTGATGAAGCCTCTCCAGTAGGTCCTGAACAGCCCGAAACTGTCCAGAATTTTGTATCTGTGTTTGGAACTGTAGCCAAGAAGCTGATGCGGAAATGGTTGGCCACTCAGACGATGAACTTTACTGGTCAGCTAGGAGCTGGAATCCGTTACTTTGATCTTCGAATTTCTACCAAACCCAGAGACCCCGACAATGAACTTTACTTTGCTCATGGTTTGTTCAGTGCCAAAGTCAATGAAGGTCTCGAGGAGATCAATGCATTCCTCACAGATCACCATAAGGAAGTGGTATTCTTGGACTTCAATCATTTTTACGGAATGCAGAAATATCACCATGAAAAACTGGTCCAAATGCTGAAAGATATCTATGGAAACAAAATGTGCCCAGCAATTTTTGCCCAGGAAGTTAGTTTAAAGTACTTGTGGGAGAAGGACTATCAAGTGCTGGTCTTCTATCACAGCCCAGTGGCTCTGGAAGTGCCCTTTCTCTGGCCTGGGCAGATGATGCCAGCACCCTGGGCCAACACCACAGACCCTGAAAAACTGATCCAGTTTCTTCAGGCATCCATCACTGAAAGAAGAAAGAAGGGCTCGTTTTTTATATCTCAGGTGGTGCTGACTCCCAAAGCTAGCACTGTGGTCAAAGGTGTGGCAAGTGGCCTCAGAGAAACAATCACAGAAAGGTAAGTGCATCAAGTCAAATAGTTTGACTTAAAGTATCAAGTCAAATAGTTTAACTAAAATCCATATCGGTAGTAAGCATTGAGTTAAAATTCATATGTATGTGTATTCGTTTCCTAGGGCTGTCATAATAAAGTACCACAAACCAAATATCTTAAAATAGTAGAAATATATTATCTCATAGTTATGGAGAGCAGAAGTCTGAAATCAAGGTGTCAGCAGAGCCAGCTCCCTCTGGAGATTCTGAAGTAGAACTGTGCCTCTCACCTTGTTTCTGGTGACAGCTGGTGATCCATGTTGGACAATGCTCACTTTATACCTGTATCACTCCTTATCTTTTATTCTTCTTCATATGGCCTTTTTCCTGTGTGTCCTTGTCTTCTCCTTTTGATTTTTTATAAGGATGCCAATCATACTGGCTTACAGTTCAACCTAATGACCTGATGCTAGACTTGATTGCTTCTATAGAGACCCTGTCTCCAAGTAATATCACACTCATAGATATGGGGATGGGACTTCAAGCTAGTGTTGTGAGACACAGATCAACCCCATAACTTGTGTATTTTGACTCTATGTCTAACTCTTTCCTTATGATGCATATGTATAGTGTTTTAAAGACTAAAAAGCCATTCTGTATTGTAAGAAGAGTCTTCTTATATGACTACTACCATTCAATATGCACAACAATCTTAAGAACTAGATATTGTCTTATAGATTTAAAAATGAGTTCAGTAAAGTGCAATGTTTGGCCTAAGGCCCATTAAACAGGAGAATAGAATCCAAGTAAACCACTAAGTAGGCTTCATTCCTAGGCATAACCTGTGCCTTGTATTCAAATTGTGCTACCTGACTAGGAAGTGTTGCTCTCCAGTAAAAGGGCATTCCTTTGGTGAAACCCCACCAGTCATGGAGAGAAGTGTTTCCCAGGCAGGTACAATTTGAACAATTAGCAAAGATCTCTGTAGCTCTTTCCCATAAGGGTGACACAAAATGGAGAATCTTGCAGATTATTTATTCTATTGAATTAAAATATTAAACTATGTAAATAGTGTGTGAGGAGAGAACATGCATTTTTATTAGATATTTTATTTTTATCTTTTATTGATAACTTGAATTATGGTAAGAAGGATGAATATTTTATACAGAGTTAAGACCTTTGTGAGGAAAGTCAAAGGAGGAGAAAGGATTTATCAGTGGAAACAGTATGGGTGGCGGTAGGGAGAGGAATGACAGCAGATGACACTTGCAATGGACACAAGAATACATACGAAAATGTCTTCTATCCAGGCTACAGAGAACTTCATCCTGTGAGCAACGGAAGCTAAATAATGGTATTTAGTAGTTAAGTCAGCTGATCATACCTGTAGTTTAGGTAATAACTGATGCACCTTGGGAGATGGATGGAGCAGAAAAGTAAGCAGTCAAGGGATGCTTCAAATAGCTCCAACAAGGTAATACAAGCTAAATTGAGAAAACTTAGAAAGTGGTAATAAGCAAAAATCAGTTTTGTAAAGTGATGAGTTAGGTTTGTGGCATGAATGGGAGAAAGAGGGAAAAGACAGGTTTCTTACTGAGAAGTGGGATGAAGGAGGTATTCACAGAGGCAGGAAATAAAGCCACAGGGACTGAGGGAGGAAATGCAGATTACACAGTCAGGGCCATGCTGCATTTAAAGTGCTGGGTGGGCATCAAAGACGTGGCTGATTAGTCATTAGGACTGTAAACCTACTCATTAAGGGTATTGGCCTTTTGAGGTAATGAGTGCAACAAATTGTAGTGCAAGGAATTTTCTTTATAAAAATCTCAGTCCCTTTTGTTATGTACAGATTAGCTAGATTCCCCTTGTTCCTTGACATTTATATAAAGTTGCCAACTCTCTACTACGCACATTGTACAAGCACAAGACCCTCTCATAGTAATATGTGCTGATATTAATATTTATTTTGTTATAATTTGAGCCCCACTATTGCCAATTGCATCATTGTATGCAGGTTAATTGTCCATATGATCTTTCCTTTTTCTATTTTGAGACATGACACTTGCTTCAGACTAATTCTTACAGACTTCACATAAGATCTGAGATAGGAAAGTTTTCTAATCATTATAGTACACATGATTTCAAAAATTATTAGATTTCTCAAATATCTTCCTGGATAATATAATACAACATTTTGTACCTCTGCCTTGAATCACTTGATTAAATCTTCTGCTCCTCCTATTCTTTTATTTCATCACATTTTTTCCCTCACACTCGGACTACCTTGGGGATCCTATACACTCTGAGTTCTTGTGTATGGCTATTCACCTTTCTCTGCTCTTCTTTGGCCTAAAGCCAGCTAATCAAATCAAAGCATTTAGAAAAATAATGTTTCTTATTTAATAGCACCACATTATACAAACATTAATTATTCTGGTAAATAATAATTCCCTTCCCCAATTAGAAAATGAAGGAGTCACATTAAAATGTGTTATTTTTAATTGTACCTTGTAGAGCCTGCACATTTTGAGAAATCTCTTGGAGACCCCCTAGAGGTGTGATAGAGGAAGGAGATGGACAAGGGATGAACTATCTCCAACTTCCTCCTTGTACTGGGGATCAAAGAAGCCTCATTCTTAATTCTCCAGTATTAAGCATTCACACATTTCCCTATGACCTTTCCCAGTCTCACTTTATTAGTGTGTAATTATTTTCTTATGAAAAGCCTGCTTTGCTTTTTGGTAAAGAACCTTATTCACTACTTCTCTGTATGAAGAGACCCATCTTGGGAAGAACCAAGAAAAACACACTCAAGGAATAAATGGTTTTCAGTTTTCTCTTTTATGGCATTTGATGTGCTTTGGAAGTTTGTAAGACATATTTAAACTGCCTTGTGGTAATTTGTGCTGTAGTATACTAAAGTAGGGTTTGTGAGGGAAAAATCAAAGGAATCAGAAAAGTGCTTAAGGTTATATTTTGTGCAACTCTTCTAAGAATCTACCTGCACATGAGCATCTAAAAGGCGCTAACAAGTATTTTAGTGAAAATTTTAAATTTAACTTATACATTGTTTTCCAGACATTTCTCCCCAGATAACACTTATTAACAGCCCATGGAATTAATTTTGAAGAACTGTCCTCAGCCATCTGTTTTAATTCAGAAATTTTCCCTTGAATCTGATTTATACATGTGAAATAGTACGGCTGTATCACTGAAAAGAAGAAAAGAAATGAAGGGTAAGGGAGAGAATTTAAAAAGTAGAAATGAAGATCTACAGGTAGAATCATCTTTTTGTCTCTAGGATTATGCAAGTTGTTTTCCAATGATGTTCACATATATCTGCACCTTGCCATGACGCTTACAGTATAAGCATTCATCAGTGGAGTTCAGACTCAGAAAAACAGAAAGAGTTTTCAACCACTTGCAAAGCTGCATTGCACGGATGGTATAAAAACATGGTGTTTTTGTCTTCATTTTGCATTATTTATTTACTTATTTAGACACATTTCAGATTTCCAGAGGGAGCCTGCAGGAAAAGATCTTGTTAGGCCTTGGGTCTTCCTTGCACAAGCGATTTACTTACCTCTGAACCAGTGGAGAAGTAGCACTTGGCTCCCTAGATTTGTCTTACTAAGGGAATGAGTCTACAAAGGAGAATGTTTCCATTACTATTCTCTTGGCTGTTGTGCCAAAATGTTCATTCAGAAATTCCCATGTTGAGAACACAAAATGTAATGAACTCTCTGGTGCCACCTAACAAAAAAATCACCAGGCGATTGCAAGATCTTTCCAAGTCTTACGTATTCTCATCTGCAAAATTTGGAGTTTGAAATAGAACCTATATTTCACTGACTCATTTCTCTATTATTTTAAAAACCATTTCTAATATTTGGATTAACAAAAAATTCTGGGCATATGTATTTAGAAAATAGTGTTTGAAATTGTGGGTGGTTTTCACGAAATGAAATCCAGTTGAATTTAGGTGCCATAGTTTTTAGTCTGGCTCTTTGTTCCAAATACTGCAGATGTGTTTTCTGCATTTTAGCAAAGCCAAAAGATACAGAATTTATTTTTTAAGGATCTATTTTTAATTTATTTTTCAAACGCCAACTTTTGCACCTCACCCCCACGGAATTCACACATTCTTTAAAAGAAGGTGTGCAATTTGAGTTAAGACCTTCCCTAATTTGTGAAAGTTTATTAATGTATATGCTTGTTACTTTTTTATTAGTTCATGAAAGGCAATCATGTCTCTTATCAGAATTTTTAGGAAGAAATAGAACTTTGTAAGAAAAATTGTATTACTTAAGTTAGAAAATGTTTATATAAATCAACAATTTGGATTATGATGACAACAATATTATTATTGCTAGCTATGTTTAAGTGCTCTTTATTATGTATTTTACTGTTTTATATATATCATTTGATTTAATGTTCATGAAGTCTCTCAAACCTAGGTACTATTGTCATCCAACCTTAAAAGTGAGCTTTAGAAGTGTTATGCAACCTATCTAACACATTGAGGTACAGATAGGTTCATGATTTAAATGAAGATTCTCTGTTTATTCTCAAAACCAATATTCTTTGATGCATATTTCATTCTAGACACTGTACTTGAAGAATGTGGTACTGAATATGCAGTGTTGAAATCACCACCCCATATTATCTTCCTGCTATTTGTGAGACTCTAAAGAAGTGGCTGCAACTTTGTTTTCTTTTTTAGATTAAAAAATTATGAGTGCATGTTTGCAGTACATAATGACTATGTTTATAGTGGGGAGTCGGTGCATGCATGCAATACCTCTTAATTCTTCTTTCATCCTCTACCCTACTCATCCTCTCCCTCCCTGATCCTTCCAACTTTTGTTCTCATTCCCATTACTTTTATCTCACTTAAACAGCAGTATCTTGACCAAATTTGGCAGTATACTCAATTCAGAACTTATCTATTCAACAGCTTCCATGCACAGGGATCTGAAGTAGGTGTGGGGAGGCATGTTAAAATTGATTAAACACCACTGTTTG